AGATAGATAGATAGATAGATAGATAGATAGATAGATAGATAGATAGATAGATATTAAGTTACATGTGTGTGTATCAGGGGAAAAAATATGTCTTCGTCTGGCCTCCAGGTACTACGCCTTCAATGACGCCTTTGTCCGAGAGGTCCTGGGCAAAAAACTCTCTAAAGGAACCAAGAAAGATCTGGATGATATCAGTGCCAAAACCGGGGTGACCCTTAAGAGTTGCCGTCGGCAGGTAAGTTTAGAGTGAACTCCCAGGACCAGCTTTTCTCTGGTTTCTGTAACTCTTAACTGGGATGAAAGGAAAGCATGTTCTCCAGATGCTCGACAGTTGAGAATGTGGTAAGTAATCCAAGAAGAGATCTCTGCCGTCTGGGCCACTTCCTGGTGGATCCATCTCATTTCCCAGAATTCCTTTGGCCTTTGCTGAGAATCCTGGGAGTTGAAGTCCCCATCGGGAGAGCATCCTGTTTATTGGGGCAACCTAGCTTAGTTTGTAAGCTGGTTCTGTCTGTCCCATTTCGGCCTTGATCCCTGAATATCTTTTTTTTTAAATAAATATGTATGGCTTTTTATTTAATAACAAAAAGGAAAAAAAGAAAGACAAAAAAATAATCCATGAATATCTTTATAAGCTGCAGGAGACGTCCTGCTTGAAGATGCCCTTTGTTTTCCCTTACAATCCATATTTTTAAGCAGTTTCTCTCTCCTGGTCCTGGTTGCATAGTATGTTTAAAGCAATCATTCCAAAGACCTACGGGTGGCTTTCATGCCATGCAAACCCACAAAGTTTTGAATCCCTCCCAACAGCACACTGTTGTTTCTTCCAAGCCAAGAAGCTGAAGGGGGGTTGGACTGCATGATCTCTGATGCCCTCCTGATGCTATGAACCATAGTGCGATGTTCAAGAAGTGAGTAGGAGAAAAGGAGTAGAGAAAATTCCACTCCTTTTGCAAGGTCATCTTCGTGTTTACCTACCCTGACCCTGCAAACTTTATCTGAAGCCCTTCCTATTTTCCTATCATTTAATGTGCTTTATAGCCTCTTAGCATTGATTGGTGAGCATGAAACTGAGCAAACTCAGGGAGGCAGTGAAGGACAGGAAGGCCTGGCGCAATATGGTTCATGGGGTCATGAAGAGTCGGACACGACTTAACGACTGAACAACAACAACAACCGAATTGATTGGTACAGCGCCTCTTGGAAGTGGAGAATCTGAAAGTCTGATCGGTACATAAACAATGGGGAGAGAAAGGGGTTAGGGAAAAAAAGAATTTAAGACAATCTAGTTGGTGCAAGAAAAGCATCTGCCAAAATGAAAACAAAATTGGATGCCTTTTTCTGCCTGGTGCCTTCCAGAGGCGGTGAATTACAAGTCCCATCATTCCTGTCAGCTGTGAGGAACGATGGGACTGGTGGCCCAACAGAACTAGAGAATAGTAAATAGGGAACTGGTTGTCTCATGCTGCTCATCTGGAGCTCGTGTTTCCAAGTCCAGCTATATACAGGTAGTCCCCAGTTTAAGAACGAGTTCTGTCCCAACATCTGTCCTTAAGTCGAATTTGTACGTAAGTCGAAACAGTATTATTGTATAATACTGTCTGAGTGGTATTGGGTAATGAACTCGAACCATTGTGGATTTAACTCGAATCATTGTGAATTTAACTCAAATTTTGCTACAATAGGCTTTGTTCTTAACCCGGGTGTCATCTGTAACCCGGGTGTTCTTAACCTGGGGACTACCTAGAGCTGCCAGAAATGTACTGCTCACATGCTAGTTTAAACTGGAGTTGCTAAACTTGAGTTTACAGGATAGAGAGGGTCTTTCAGAAGTGGCTACTGACTTGGCTGACTTAATGAGACCAAAGGGGGACAAAACCTCTTAAAAGGCAGAGATGGGCAGCATGTAAATTTAATAATAAAATAAAAGTGTGATGCCTAATGGCTTTCTGTGGAATCCATCCAGTTCAATGCCGCTCCCACTGAAATAAAATTCAGTCCAATGTAGTTCCTTCGCGGCACCATCTCTGTTTTTATTCTACGCCCCCCTCCGCTCTGCCAACTTTGGGAAATGCATCGTGGGTCAAAGATCATCTTTGTTCCACGCAAAATTTCAAGGCCTCTGATTTAAATTATTCCAGCTTCAGCCCTCCAAAATACCCCAAACCTGGTTGATGGGAGGATTTTCTTGACGGTTCCTAGCTCCCCCATCTACGAATATCATTTTTGCCAAGTTCAAAGAGCCCAGAGTTTCAACGGCATAAAGATCAGTAGGAATCGGGTCGCATGCTGGCTGGGGAATTCTGGGAGTTGAAGTCCACTCATCTTAAAGTTGCTGAAGTTGAGAAACATTGGATTAGTCAAACAAGATACAACCTGACTCCTGATTTTTTGCCACTCCAAATTAACATGGCTCTCCTCCCACAGTGGCGTAAAATGTTCTTTTTCTTCTTCTGTTTCAGTTTGACAATTTTAAGCGTGTTTTCAAGGCCGTGGAGGAACTGCGTGGGTCGTTGGTAGAAAATATTCAGCAGCACTTCTTGCTTTCGGACCGGTTAGCCAGGTACAAAAATAACCGTGGTGTGTTGTGCTTATAGTGGAGGAAACCTAGATTCTAGGCCCCAATCCTGTGGAATTCATGGAGAGACTTTTGGATCAGTCTCTGTCTCTCTTGAGTTCTCCCTCCTTCCCTGCCTCCAGTCTACCTTGCAGGGCTCTTGTGCAATTCCAGAGAGATCGCACACACTTGGGCTAGAGCATCTAGAGATCTCAGTAAAAAATAACACCATTTTGTCCACAAACCCTCTTACCTCGTGGGGTTCTCTGGGATAACAGGAAAGCCAGCGGTGAGGGATCAGAGGATTTGAACGCAGCGGGCGCCCTTGTTAAAGGATGTGCTCCTGAATGCATGCAGAATGCAAGGCGACCCCAAAGTCGTTAGCAGGAAGGCCCCATCCCCAAAGCTCATTGTGGGGTCGTGTCTGAGATGCAAAGTCTCGGCTTATTCCCGCTAGCGATGAATCCTAAGCGACGTTTGTGGCATTTGAAGTAAAAACAGATTTATGAAGAAATACATAGAGTAAGGAAGTCTTTCTTCATAAAAACTGCTTGGAGAGACAGGCCCTTTGGTCTCTTAAGCAGAAAGACTTGTTTTATTTCCAGTCGACCACGAGAGACAGACTTGGGCCAATACATATTGATTTATTTAATTTAGTTATCAAATTTCTCACTGCCCCTCTCGTGAAACGACTCGGGGCATTTTACAACAAGATAACCGTTCATTAAAATACAGCATAAAAACAGTCCTAAAGCTGAATAGGTTCCAAGAAGATGGAAAATTGGCTAGTAATTCCAGGGAGCGTCATTGGGGGCGAACCACCCCCAGGGCCGGGTAGAGCCCATCTCACCCCATGCACACTGGCAGAGCCAGGTCTTTAAATCTTTTCGGAAAGTTGAGAGGGTGGGGGCCCACCATACCCGGGGGGGGATATTCCAAAGGGTGGGGGCAACGGCAGAGAAGACTCTCTTCCTGGGCCCCACCAGCCAACATCCCCTTGTAAAGATGTAAAGACCCTTCTCTTTATCCATCGCTGGCCAGTTGCCCCAGTGCAGTGTTTCTCAACCTTGGCAGCTTTAAGATCGGTGTACTTCAACTCCCCAAAATCCCCCCCCCAG